AGCTCCCCGATGCCTTTCCTCCCCCAACCCCCCAATGCCCAGCCCCTGCTCAGTCAGGCAGACAGCGTGTCTCATGGGCTGTGACTCAGAACCAGGGCCAAGGGCGTGTTTTCAAATCATCACCAGCCACCTCGGGCTGGCTCTGGTCCCCGTGTTCCCATCAAGGTGGGGGGAGCGAGGTTAAGGGCACAGCTTCTGGGGGACACAGACCAGCCCTGGGTCCAGTCTCAGTCTGGCTACTGGCTCTGATCAAGTCACCAATCTTTGAGTTAACAGTTATCAGTTAACTGTGGATAACCCGACCCACCTTGCAAGGCTTTGGGGATGAGTACATGGGGTGATGTATATTACCCGGTACACGGTAAACAGCGACACGTGGAAGCTTCTGGAACCATCTGAGGGAGGTGTCAGCGGTTAGGACTTGCCGGCCCTGATTGGGCCTGAAGCCGCCCTGACCTCACTTATGGTTTCAGGCTCCACGAGCTCTGGGAGGAGGGGGTTCCATGCTCTGGGATTTCCTGTGTTCTGGGATGACATTGGTCGCCCCTCGGTGCATCGCTCCACGGGGTGGCGGGGTGAGCTCGGAGCTCGGACCCCGGCCCCGCACACACGGAGCCGAGCTCGTCTTGTTACACGGCGGGGACAATACAGGCTCTGACTCGCAGATGCCACCGAAGGGGGCAAGCAAGCAAGGCTGCCGGCACCGTGCCTGCCCACAAGTGCGCAACCGCGGGTCCGTTTGCAGATGGGGGACTGCGACTAAGCGCAGACACGCCTGCTCCTGCCCGGGGGTCACAGGCTTTGGGCTCACCTGCCCCACAACCTCTCCAGACCCCGTGTTGGGTCCTTGTTGGTGTGGGAACCCAAAGGACAGCAGGCGAGTCCAGGCTAGACACCCACCTCAGATGCCTTCTGGGGTCCCTTGTATCGCGTCTGAAACAGACCCCTCAGCTTCCCTCAACACCCCAGTTCCGTCTGCTGTCCCCACCCACCACCCACCACCCACCAAGAGTTTGCAGAGCACCCCTCGCTGACACTGGCCACTGAGGTCCTGCCCTGGTCCGCAGAGGCAGTGGAGGCCCCTGTGCCGTCCAGGCACCCCCCTTCTCCTTGGCCTCACTCGATCTGGACCCCTCACCCCTTCCAGGCCTCCCAGCCTCCCCCCTGCCCCCTGCAGTGCTCTCGTCCCAGAAGCCTGAGTGATCTTTTAAAAACACATCTGATCACACTGTTCCTCCTCCAACCGTTAAACCCGCGCGACCCCACGGCCCTTAGCGCCAATACGGTTGAAGCCTGGGTCCCCTGCATGTGCCTGCGCCCACACGCCCTCCCAGGCTGCAGACCCAGGGGCCATTCTCAGTTCCTCTAACGGGCCACGCCCCCCCCACCTCGGGGCCTTCTGGGCGGAGCGGCCCCCATGCTGGTCAGATGTACTCCTGGCTCAGCTCTGGAGTCCTCCGGGGAGCCCATCCTAACCCTCAGTCCTGGTGCTGCTGCGTCCTGGCACATTCACAGGTGATTAAATAATCATACGATCGTTGTTGACCATCTCAGGAGGGCAGGGGCCAGACCTCCAGGATTTACGCTGGTGCCTGGCCTAGAATCAGGCACAATAAATGCTGGTGGCCTGGATCAGTGACGGTGGGCAGGCCGGAGCCCCAGAGGGGACCCTTGCCCAACACACACACAGACATACACACACGCACACAGAAGCTCCTACCCAACAGACCCTCCAACTGACCCTCAACACACGCACACGCACACACACAGGCTCTGAGCAGCACGCCCGACTGAGAATGTGAGTCTGAAGGGGCTACAGGAAGGCCTTCCCTGGAGGCTGGAGAAGGGGTGAGGCTGTGCTGAGGGCCCCCACAAGGGCTGGGGATGGTCACCCCATGACTCCAGGCCCAGCCACCAGTCCAAGCTGGCCCAGTGGGAAGGCCTCTCAGTCGAGGGCGAAGGAAACCAGGGAGACCTGGCCCAGAGGTGTGCGTGGGAGGCCCTTCTGTGACCCTGGGCTACTTCAGACAGAGCCAGGCAGGGGCAGTGAGCCGGGCCTGGGCTCTCTCTGCGGCATGGATGACCCTTCGTACCCCTGGGGGCTCCCCCCTCCCAGGGAGTGTTGGCCGGGGCCCTCTGACTGCACCTGTCCCAGCCCACCAGGTCTCAGCAGAGTGGGCAAACTTCATGTCTCTCTTCACTGGGGTCCTGCCTACAGATCTTCTATATTGTTTGCCTTCAAATTAATCACTTTTTAAAAAACTCAACTAAGTTTAGCTTTTCCTAAGAAACCCCTTTGAAATAACAGGTTAAATATGCCATACACACACACACACACACACACACACATTCTAATATGAGTGAACGTGTTGCTCTAAATTAAAACGACACGTAAGCTTACATGCGTCCCACGGCGCCTGCTGGGCACTCTGAGGACCACAGGCGCAGGTAAGGACTCGAGGCTCAGGGCCCGGGGCCGCCCGAGCCGCCCAAGCTCTTCTGCCCACACTGGTCTGTGCCCCTGCCCAGGCCACACGGGCACTCGGGGATTATCTCACCTGCTCCTCAAGAAAACAGTTTTGTACAATTTGCAAAGGTTCAAATTCTGTTAAGTTTTGCAATTTCACAGAAACTGAGGCCCAAGAGCTCCTCCCAAACAGACTGGGACCCAGGTTTCCTGATTTCTGTCCCACGTGGCACCCACCGGGCCGGCCCCTCCCACCAAACGGGTCACCAGGCGCCTGCTCCCAGGGAGGGGCTGCGGTGGGTGTCCCCTTCCTCCCCTGGGTTCCCCTAAACAGCTCCACTACCGCCCCTCCGCCCCCTCCGCCCCCGGGCCACGGCCGGGCCTTGGGCCTAACGAGAGGGGAAAGATGGACGGTGCACACGGTTTCAGGTTTTAGTGATAGAAGCTGTGCTTTTTTTTTTTTTTAACGCCAGCCGTAGACAAGTGTCTCGAGTGAGAAACGAAAGCCCTCTCTTCCGAGCTGCCCTCCCCGGGGTTACCCACCGTAAACATCCTTCCAGACCTTCCCTCGCATACATGCAGCACACGGTCCCACCGTCAGTGAGGTCTTTTTAGTAGAAAATGGGTTCCTACCCTACACATTTTACAACTTTTTTAAAAATGCCATTTATAATCTGATCCTTTCCCCCCACGGGAGCCACTCTAGGTCCACCTACTGAGCTCCCCCATTTCACCCACACCCGATCGGCAAAAAAATGGATCTCCGTGTTTAATTCATTTCCCTGATTATGGCGGCTGCCAGGTGCCTTCCCGCACGTCTCCAGGAACAGCCAGCTTTTGTTTGGGGCACTCGGAAGGTGAGGGTTGGGGCGATCGCTTGGCCAGGGCTGGCCCTGGGGGAGTTCTCTCTGGCTGGGCAGTCCCTTGCCACTTCCTCCAGCCCCAAAGCCTGGAAGCGAGGACTTCCCTCTCCCACCCCCACCGCCCCTGCCTCCGCCAGGGCCCAGCAGATGGGGGAGGCCACCTTCCGGTTGAAGAGAGGAAGCAGCATCCTCAATTGTTCTGTGCAGGGCCCGTGGCGCAGGCCTGGGCTGCAGGAAGCGGCCACGTGGTCACCGAGGCCATTCCTCCCGGCCTGTCCCAGACCCGCTGGAGCAGAGCAAGCTTCCTTGGGCAAGTGGCTTCAGGCCTGTCTCCTCCTCATCAGATGAGGTCCTTGGGAAATAACAGAGAGGAGAGGGAGCCGGGCGTCTCTGCACGTCGGCGCAGCTCCAGCACCCCCCAGCCCAAGGCCTCAGGCCCCTGCGGCCCGCCCAGCCCTTTCCTCTCAGCCTCACAATCCTGAGGCAGCTGATGTCACTCCACCTTCCGGCTGGAAAGACCTTCGCAAGTCGCATTCCCCAAGGCGCTCACACTGTAGACGGTACATGAAACCCAACCCAGGAGAAGAGACGGCAGAAGCAACGACGACAATGTAGCAATCTTTCTGCTGACTCTGGGCCCTGCTTAATTAATAATTAATTATCAGCAGTTATGATATTGAGAGCTGCCACGTATCGAGCCTTCAGGTGCACTAGGCACCTGCCAGGTCCTCGCAATGCCTCCCCTCACTGGCTCTCCACAACACCTGCGTAAGGGAACGGCCGTTCTCCCCATTCCTAGATGGGAAAAGTGAGGCTCAGAAAGGTTAAGAGACTGGCCCGAGGTCTCAGCACCAGTCAGCGGCGGAGCTGGGACCCACACCCTGCTGCTCTCCTCCCCTCACCCCCAAGTCTGGCAGAACCCGGAGCCAGAAACAGACCTGGGCCTGCGCCTTGGCCTTGGCCGTGGGCCAGATTCCCAGGGGGGCTCCAGAGAAGGGCAAACTAGGGACATTGTGAAGCGTCTCCCACACAGGCAAGAAACTGCAACTCGTCACTTAGGAAGCGGTGCCAGCTGACAGGTGGCGGTTGAGGAATTGCGGAGGACGGGGCTGTGCAGGCAGGTGTCTCCAACCGTTTGGGGGGGTGGCTTTTAAAGCAGTGTGGGTTGGACCCAAAACCACAGAGCATCGTCTCAAGCCGGCGCGGAGCAGCTCGCATCTTACAGCTGCCGTGAGTCGCATTACTGTCCCGCTCCAGATGTTCCAAACCCAGAATGTCGTCCTCAGACGTTCCCTTGGATTAGAGATTAACCCCAGGCAGGGATGACGTCGGGGGTATTATGGGCTTCGGTTAAATATTTGGAATGAGTATTTTGGATACAAGCCCATCTGGAAAGAAAGGAAGCCCTAACCTTGGCCACCGGGCTGTGCCCTCCCTGGGCCACTGAAGTCCAGCGTGTGGGTTTCATTTCAGTGATTCAAACCGTCTGGGTCTAGTCCAGCGGTTCTCAACCCGGGGTGGCTTCGCACCCTCCCAGGGACAGCCACCACCGTCTGCAGGCATTTGGGGTTGTCACGAAGGGGGTTAGGGGCTGCTGGCATCAAGCTGGTAGAGACCAGGGATGCTGGGCCACGGCCTACAACACACAGCACAGCCTCTGGTCTGGGCAAAGCCCGGGGGCAGTTCTGGGCGGCTGGAGGTCTCCGGTCAGTCCCACCAGCGCCTCACGTGTTTTCCTGTCACGGGGCTTAAGAACACGAAGACTAGGCTGGGTAAGGAAGCTGTGGGGGGGTCCGCAGCATCACACTCGCTCACACCCAGGCCCTTCCTAACCCAGCCCTTCTTGTGTCCAGGGGAAGCGGCTGAGTACAGCCCCCTGGCCGCCGACGGGAGGAGCCGTCCCGGGGAGTCGCGCTGTTCGGTTAATTCCTAATACGATCTTGTTGATTAATAATAACTCGATCAGCTTCCCACTCGGCATGGCGGCCACGGGGCCGTCACCTACACCTGTCCTCTCACTGCACCCTCACAGCAGCCTATGAGAGTTCGGGCAGATGACAACACTGAAGGTCCCAGGGGTGACTTCCCAAGGACCCAGGGCCAGCCCTGGTCAGCCATTCCGACCCCAGGGCCTGAGCCCACGAAGGACACGGACCCTCGTAGGGAGCCTCAAACTCTGCCCTTTCTCTGGGGCCGGTCCCCTCCCAACTGGGATTAGGAACCCAGGAGAATGGGACTCGGACACAGAGGTTCCTGTGCCCACAGAGGTGTCCCAAGAAGGGCATGGGACCAAGGGAAGGAGGTGGACAGCAAAGAAACCAGCCTTCAGCCCCTCCAAAACGCCATCATTCATCGCTTACAGTATTTTCACATTTTTTAAAGCCAGGGAGTTGCCCTGTGTGAAAAGAAGAAGGCCTGGGCCAGGGATAATAAAATTCATCACAGGAGTCGTTTACACGGGTCGGAACTCTGAAGCTTCGGCCGCGATTCTCGACTCAGTCATTATAGATCGGTGGCTCCCTCCCCGCCGGGGAAGGGGCAGCCCGGTAACAACGGGCTAAAGGAGCAGGCCGCTCGCATTGAGTATTTTACCGTGGGCTTGGCCCCGTGCCCACTGCCCGACAGAGGTCCCCATCATTCTCGCAATCAGCCGTGGCGCAAGCACTGGGACACCTCGGTCTGCAGAGGAGGAAACCAAGGGTCAGAGTGGCTCAGGTCACACCCTGGAAAGTGGCAGAGCCTGGCCTCCGGCCCAGGTCTGCTTGACTGCAGTAGTCTAGGTGTGCCCTGGGCTCCCCTGACCAGGGAGCGAGGACTGGCACAGAAAGAGAAAGGTCGTCTCGGGTCTCCTGACTCAGGCCTGCCTCCAGCGAGTGTCTGGATGTGGCCGGAGCCACCACCGCATGGAGCACAAGGCCTCGAAGACTGGAAACCTGTGCACAGATGGGAAGGCCGAGGCTCCGAGCCAGGCCTGCCCCCTCCCCACCGAACATCACATCCATCTCATTGCAAAGCAGCCTCTTTCCCCCTCCCCAGGTTTCTTCCCCCTGGTGCTCCCATCTTCCCGTTGAAGGACCCCTGCCCATCCTACCCCAGAACTCAGCCTGGGGCCCTAGCAAAACCTTTGTGTCTTGCCAGTTGTCCCAGATGCCTCGCAAAGCCCGGGAAGGCTTGGAGCTTAAAGCTTCTTAGGAAAAGTTCACACCAAATAACTAAGACTCATGTTTCCCTTTTGGAATGGGCAGTAGCCTCCGTCCCGGATTAAGAGCCGCTTTGGGGAATTAAAGGGCTTGGGCGTGGAAACCAGGTTGATGGAGGAGCCGAAGCGCGTCTAGGTGGGCCGCACGCGCGCCTCTTCGAGGCGATCACGGTTACAACCCTCGTTTTAAATTTTACCATGATCCTCCTGTTTCCCTTATAACTTCAGAGTTACTGGCGGAGGAGTCGTAACATTTGGTGTCCCCTCAACCTCCATCCCCTCCTTACCCCCCTTGAATTTCAGGTGGCCCAGGATGTTCCCAAATTGGGGGAAACTCCTACTCCTGGGGGAACTCTGTTCCTTCCTTGCAGACCCAGGATGCTGCACAGAAGGGACATTGAGAGAGGGGCCACGGGAGAGTGTCCATGCCCGCTCCCTCGGAAAGGTCCCAGTGCCCCAGAAATGGCTGTTTTCACTGCCCTGTCTCAGGGTGGCCCTTCGAGGTAAATCTACCACTGCTCTCCCCACACCCAAGAGGACCATCTCTGGGATCAGGGAACATGCCAGTAAAGAAGACCCTGGGTCTCAGCGTCCTGCACTGAGATTTACATTGTCCTGAGAACATCCTGAAGACCAGGCTGGAGAGAAGGGGCCAGAGGGCTCCTCTCGGCTGTCAGGGCCCCAGGGGAGCCTTCTGGACACTGACACTGATGTCCATGTAAATGGCCTCCTTCCTCGGAGAGAAAAACACTACGCCACCCGGTTTGGGCCTCTAAAACTAGCTGTCCTCTCAAGCACACCAGCACCGGGAACAGGAAAGCATTCCCCCCAAACCTGAGGTGCACCTGAAAACGCAGGACAAGTTCAGGTGCAGCCGCACAGCAGATAACTCAAGCGGCTTCAGGGCCCCCGGCCGCTTCCTGAGAGCCCGCCACGTGGGCTTGCAGGGGCCTGAGCCGGGGGCCACGCAGCGGCCTCTCGGGTGATCCAGGCAGCAGCCTTGTTGTGCCAAAGAGGCACATGATGGGATATTCCTCTGCTTTCTTTCTTTTTTTAAATTTTATTTATTGATTTTAGAGGGACAGGAAGAGAGAGAGAGGGAGGGAAACCTCAATTTGTTCCACTTATGTATCCATCATTAGCTGCTTCTTGTATGTGCCCTGACCAGGGATTGAACCCACAACCTTGGCGTATTGGGATGACTCTCTAAGCGACTGAGCCACCTGGCCAGGTCCCCTCTGCTTTCTCAGTGCCTTGCAGGGAAGGGCACAGGAACCTCAGGGACAGTGGGAAAGGAGGTCCTAGAGCCATGACCCCACCTGAACCAACAGGCAAACCATCCAGGAGGTCATGTGGCCAAGGAGGTCTCAGAGACCCACCTCCGTACATGCCCAAAGCTTCCCTCTGCCCCTGGCGAGGCCCTGACCCCCCTACCCCAGGCCTCCAAGCCCCCCACCCCC